CTCTCTCTCTCTCTCTCTCTCTCTCTCTCTCTCTCTCTCTCTCTCTCTCTCTCTCTCTCTCTCTCTCTCGCTCTCTCTCTCTCTCTCTCTCTCCCCCCTACGCTCCTACCCGTTCGCCTTTTTCCCTTTCTTCCTTCTCAATTGCCTCCCTTCCACCAGTCCGATTCCATCTTTCAACTTATACTCTCCATCCCCGCGCCCGATCTTCCCCCCACCAATCCACTTCTCATCCTCTTCTCCTTCTCTTGTGTCTGTCCCATCGCTCTTCCTGCCTCTCCGCGCACGCCTTTCTCTCCTCGACTGGGATCCTCTTCTAGCCCCTACTCCTCCTACTCCAGTACTCGATCTGATCCTTGCCAATCTGGTAGGCACTTCCCTCTCTTGCCCTGCCTGTCGCTCTTTCTTTCTTCATTGCTCTCTCTCTCCATCACCTGCATATCCACATTTACCCTATCCCCTGTCGTAATTCAGGTCCTTTGTCATCATCATGCTCTCTCCTTTCCTTATACCCTGCTCCCCTCCCTCCGCACTGAGCTCCTCTTCCTGCCTCGCTAAACGACCTGCATTCCTAACGCTGTTGCCGTGGCGTATTTTGCCCAGCACTCGCAGTCCATCCGTTCTCACATCCTTACGCTGATTGGCTGGCATTCGGACCACCTCCTCCTCTCGATCACATATCCTGATCGCCCCCCTCACAATCCGGGCTGCTCATCCTCTTCTTCACAAATTGGATCCCCGACTTACATCCTCCCTCCCATTTGCTTTAGGACTCTCCTCGCCGTCTTTTTCTTACTCCTCTACAACCTCCTTCACGCGGGCAAAGTTCCCTTTCATGTTTCACCCGATCGCGGTGACTTTAGTTCTGATTCCTCCGTCGCCGCTTCCTCCTCCTGACCGACCGCATCCCGACCCTCTCATCCTCCTAATCCCCCCCCATCCTCACCCGCCCACTTCGTCCTTCTCACCCCTTCCGATAGCAGCCGCGCACAAATCCTGTCCCGATTTTGCAACATAGCACCCCCACAAAAATGGAGTTGCAAAGAAAAAAAAAAAAAAAAAAAAAAAAAAAAAAAAAAAAATGGAGTTGCACCCCCACAAAAATGGAGTTGCACCCCCACAAAAAATGGAGTTGCACCCCCACAAAATGATTTTGCAACAAATGGACGGATGAATGGAGGGAAGGAGGTATGTAGGGAAAAAGACAGACAGACAGACGGAGAGAGTGCACTTCGCCACGCTGAGAGAGAGAGGCAGGGAGGGAGGGAGGGAGGGAGCGAGGGAGGGAGGTAGGGAGCGAGGGAGGGAATCCACCTATTCGTCTTCGGGTCGAGTGTGAACTCTCCAACACTTCATGCACAACCCCGCTGATAGAGAGAGGCAGGGAGCGAGGGAGGGAGGTGGAGAAAGAGAAAGAGAGAGAGAGAGAGAGAGAGAGAGAGAGAGAGAGAGAGAGGGGGAGGGGGGGGGGGGGGGGGGGGGGGGGGGGGGGGGGGGAGGGGGGGGGGGGGGGGGGGGGAGGGAGGGAGGGAGGGAGGGAGCGAGGGAGAGAGAGAGAGAGGGACGGAGGGAGAGAGGGTGAACTTACGCGAACTGACCTATTTCCTTTTTGGGCCGTCTGTAAGTGGAACTCTCCACGTATTCATGCACGAGACCGCAGAGAGAGCAAGAGAGTCTTCACGCACAGGCCCGCAGAGAGAGCGAGAGTCTTCACGCACAACACCGCACAGAGAGAGAGAGAGAGAGAGAGAGAGAGAGAGAGAGAGAGGGAGAGAGAGAGTGCACTCCGGCACGCCCGTTTGCACGCAGCACACACTCTACTCCGCGAACCTGCCTATTGATTTCGGGATGGCGCCGACCAGAGTCTGGGCTGCGGGGAAACGGGCGTGCCCAAGCGCACATTCTCGCTGGGCCCACGGGCGAGTGCACACTCTCTCTCTCTGGGCCTTGTCCAAAATCGAAAATGTCCAAATGGAACTGGGCTTGTCCAGACGGCGCTCATTTCCCTTCTGGGCATATGGATCTGGGCCTTGTCCAGAATGGAAAATACCGACGGCGCTCCTTTCCCTTCTGGGCAGTGCCAACCCGTCGAGTGTATTTGTTCCCCTCTCTCACACAGGGACCCCTGCAAGCATAGCTACATCTCGCAGTGAAGGGGATATTGCATGTTGCCCCTTGACAAAGTGGCTTAGTGTGCAGGGCCGCCGGGGACCCGGCTAACACAAGGACCGAGCATTTTGCTAGTAGCTGTGCCTCCCTTTTCTCCTTCCCCGGGCCGCATAGAGTACCAGCAGCCAACGGTTTTCCACACACACCACACAACCGATGCCTATTTTGCATACTTCCTGCAGGTCACACTCGCGGCGGCCTCATTTGTAATTGACGAGGTCCTGTGTAGCTGGGGTGCAGCGTTGGCATGGGTTGATGAGTTTGAATCAGGAGAGGACTAAGGGCCTCGCCGGACGTTTTGGCCCTATTTCACCGTTTCGCCTCGTTTTTGTGCTCACCGCGGCATAGCACACGCGAATATCCACGCTTATTCGCGTGGCGTTGCCCTGACGAGTTTCTGTGAAGCCTGGCAAGCACTACGGTCCAAGAATTTGGATGGACACCGTTTGGACCTTTGTGGTCCACTCGCGAGGATCCACAGGGCCTCCACCATCCTCGCCGAGGACCTACGGGTTCGTGTGTTTCGCAGGCTGGGCGGCAGTCTTCCATGCGTTTTCCTCGCGAATCCTTTTTCTGACAGAATTCGCGCGTTGCTCCTGACAAGAATCGTGTGTATGTTGTGTGGCGGCACACTCACGAAATGAATTCGTTTTTCTTTTCGTTTTTTTTACCGTCCGGCGAGGCCCTAAGGGCCTGGCCGCACCACAGTCGAAAACTCGATTTTTGACATTTTCACGTTGCCACACAGGCTGTCTAAACGACACCTGTCAGAAATTGGTCGACACCTGTCAGAAATCGATTTTCGATGGTGGTGTGTTCACATTCGAAAACGCCCGCTTGCAGCGGGCAGAAACTCGACAGGTTGTCCGTTGGTTGAAAAGCCATCGGAATTCGACGGTAGTCAATCTTGTCGGCGCTCGTTGCATGCGCTTCGACATTCGCCATAGCATCGCATCCTCTCCTCAGCGCCCGTCGTCGCCACACAGCACTGTTCAAGCGCACACATCCTGCCTCAAACTTTGACACCAGCATTGTTAGACGCTGATGTATGGCGAAAGCGGGTAACACTGTCGAATCGGCAGCTGTCAAAACTCGTCTGACAAATGTCGAAAAAAACACCGATTTGACGGTGGTGTGGCGAGGCCCTAACATGTGAGTAAGAAGCATGTCGAGACTTGCCAAATAGACCCATTGATGGGGGCGGCAGACCGCGTACGTGCGGGGAAAAGTTGAGTTCTCGCCTTGCTGGACGACGCACGCGGTGTGCCCAACAGCTAAAGTGTAACCCTTTTGAGTCCTAGGTGCGTACGGTGGCAAAGGCCAGCGACAACATACCCTTAGGGAGGTGGCCAGTGCGCCGATGGCAGAGGCCCTCGCACGAGTGGTGCAGGAGTTTGGAGGCCGTGAGGTCGGCTGGTGGGCTAAAGGCGTGGCTTTTAGCCCTTGTATGTTCTAGAAGTCATGGGACTATCCCCTTTAGTTTTGTTTTGGGCCCGATCGCCAATCTGATGGCCAGGGCCGAAAGGGGTGTTGATGGTTCCCCCTATCCCTTCTTATTTTTATTTTTATCATTTATTTATTTTTTTGGCATTGCTCCGTTTTGGCACCAAACCGGTACTGACTCCGGGGCCGATCATAAGCCAACGAACTTAGCTTAGTTATTACACCACTCAATTTTTTAAATGCAGCTTTGAGTTCGAATTTCGATGAAAGTGGATAAGTAAAATATTGCTATTTTAAAATACATGGGGGCGAGAAGTTTCACGGACCTAGTCTTGGGATGGTACTAACTCCGATACTGCAGGAGATACCAACGAGTTTAGTTCGGTTGGTACGCACTCAAACTGATGAAATACAGACTCAAGTTCACGAGAGGCAAATAAGTGGAGTACTACAGTTTGAATTATCTAAGTCTGGTCAGATATGTAATATCTCAAGGTTGATGTCACGGGGCTTGGTCGGGACCTGCGTAGCACGGCGAATGTGTTTGCGGCCCTTCCCGTTCGGGCGAACACGTTCTCCCGTTCGCGCGAACGGGTCGAGAACACGTTCGCGAGAACGTGTTTTCGGTGCCTGCGAACGGGGTTCGTCTAGGCTGGTACCGGTCGCCAACAGGGCGTTGGAGGGGCCTGGGGAGCGCTGGTGTGTGTGTGTGTGTGTGTGTGTCATGGACTTTCCTACCTGATGTCGTAGAAGGACGTCACGGAGGCCATACTCAAACGATCACTTTCCAGAATGCATCTGACCACTATTACGAGGAGAGGAAAACATTGTTGTTTTTTCTTTTTTTATCTTGGCTCCCCGTGTTCCTCGTTCTGCCAAAGTGCCCTCACTTAGGGCAGTACTCCAAAAAGTGTATCCAACTGCAATCACGGCCAAAGCTTGTTTTTTTTTTTGTTTTTTTTTTGTTTTTTTTTTGTTTTTTTTCCTTATTTGGTGAGTCTGACAGTCGTGCTCCCCGTGTTCCTCGTTCTGCGAAAGTGCCCTCACGGCCAAAGCTTGTTTTCTTTTTTGGTTTTTTTTTGTTTTTTGTTATTATTTGGTGAGTCTGACAATCGTGCTCCCCGTGTTCCTCGTTCTGCCAAAGTGCCCTCACTGAGGGCGTCGCCGCACTACGCATGAAACGAAAAACGAAACGAGTGCATCTTCCGACAGAAAATGGTCAGGTTCGTCAGTTTGCTATACATAGTAACGAGTGTATTTTTCCACCTTTCGTGGGCAGATGCACTCGCTTAATTTTCGTTTCGTGTGTCGTGCGGCGAGGCCCTGAGGGCAGTACTCCAAAAAGTGTATCCAACTGCAATCACGGCGAAAGACGGGGGCACACACACATAAAGTGTATCCAACTGCAATCACGGCCCTGAGGGCAGTACTCCAAAAAGTGTATCCAACTGCAATCACGGCCAAAGACGGGGGCACACACACATAAAGTGTATCCAACTGCAATCACGGCCCTGAGGGCAGTACTCCAAAAAGTGTATCCAACTGCAATCACGGCGAGGCCCAGACGGGGGCACACACACATACACATAGATACACACACACACACACACATACACACACATACACGACTCTTAAAGCAGAGGGGGGGTTCAGGGACACAGGCCTATGCCCCCCGAACCCTAAAAAAAAAAAAAAAAAAAAAAAAAAACGTTCGCGCCTGCGCGAACAGCGTGCAACGCAGGTCGGGACATCTATTAAAACTGAGACAATACAGAGAAGATTTGATTGCTCACTGCTCAACACTGCCCTGGGGCAATTCTGGGTACACCTTCACGTAGGGTCCGACCAGGTGTATCTACAAGGCAACCTACTTGAGGTAGACGGTTGGACAACTCATCCTTCAACCGTTCTATATCGTGAAGGAGACTTCCTTCGCAATACTTTGTTTTTGACACTTGAGTGTCGTACGCAACGCTGAAACCTACGAAGAAAATAGTAATTATGGGTAACTCGTGAAGCGTCTCCATGACAGTCGATTGTGTGAGTATACATAATTGAATGTTGTGGTCTTCCTTGCGTATGCGGCCCTCTTATGCATTTTCATGTAGATCACATCGGATATTCACACGCATACGAGTTATAGGTCAGAACGTTTGCAAAAGCGACTAAGCGCGAACTGTACTCAAATTTAAGATTTTATAGTGATAAGTTTTGCGTGGTTAAACTGGTCGTCCTAGTCGACCGGCATAGGGCCACGCTTGGGAGATCAGCGCCCCAAGCGTTGGTTCTCGTGTGGGTTCGATTCGGGCGTCGATCGCTCGTACCCTTTATAATACATCGACCGAGAAACACCCTCGGTTGAGCCACCTCTGCGATTGCCCCTAAAAAGCTTTTGCAAGTGATTCGGTGGCTCGATGGGGATACACCCACCTAAGGGATGGTGTCAACTCCCACGGGTGGATGTAAGTTGTACCTCGCTTGACTCTACTATCTTGTCGTAGGACTTCGCGAGAGGTATGGCTGACACACTTGGTCGGAGCGGCACAGCTCGATTAGAAGTCTTGCTAAATCATGCCTGACGCGGCCAGGAGGGTCACCATGTGGGACCGATGCACTCGATAACGCCATCGTGAACCCTACTAATATCGCCCAGGTATGAGCAAGCCGACTATCTCATCTGGTTGGCCTGCCCAAGCGGCCAATTGAATTGAACCCACGACCTCCTGAATGTCACGTGTGTGTTGAGACGAACTTGTTTTCTTTTCTTCGGCTTGTACTTTATTACCGCATCTTCGATGATAATTTGTGGAGCTCCATTTTGAGAACAAATCCATGCAACATGACAAAATGGTTGTCTTCATTTTCACCGGGGCTAAAATTGTGGCCTAATTCATTGACCTGTTTTTTATTAAATTATTGGCAAATGATACCCTGCGTACCTATTCCCTAGTAGTTAAAAACATGTGATTCAGCACCAGAACACAACCCTCCGAGAACTTCAAGGAGTTTTCAAAATTTGAGACGAGGTTTCTAAAAGGGAAAAAATGTGAAAATGGTTATGGAGCTCACTGTTCTTCAAACAAAATTGTTGAATTGCTTCGGTGGAGCACAACCCTTCTGTCATTTCACTGGTTCCCCTTGGCTTCATGTATCCGACGTTTCCCTTGACGTTTTTTTCT